GGAAACTGAGGACAATATATATATATATATATATATATATATATATATATATATATATATATATATATATATATATATATATATATATACATATATGGAAATGAAAGTAACATTGACATCTCATCTTAACAGTTATATTTAGTCTGGGGAGTTAGGTGGCCAAATATAAGGGTAATGTGGTCGCAGAAAATGTTTGGCAGCCATGACAGGATTCTCCTGTTTTTGTGCATTTAATTTGCAAATCAATATGTTTTCAAAGGAAAAAAAATGTTATTATTATGCCACTGCGATGACGTAAACAAAACAAGATTTTAGCCAAAATTTCGAACCCTTTTAGAAAGGATTAAAAAATTTCAAAAATAATTAAGAAATACTTTGGTCTTTCAGCTTAATAATAACCAACATTTTGGCGATAATACATTATTTTTTATTAAGTTTGTGGCCTTTTTCATTACGCTATGCTGTTTTCCCGCATAAAAGTTGAGGTACTTATTTAATTAGATTAGCATTCTTTTATATCAAAATTCTGGTCAGTCTCGTGTTGTTTTGTAAAAATATTTTGTAGAATATCCCTTTTGTGTTCATTATAATCTTTTATGTCTCCCTCAAATACTCTATTTCAAAAGATGTTGATTTATGCAAAACAAAAGGCTCATAAAATAATCTAAAATAAAAAAGCGGTCTCTCCTGATAAACGCAACGAATAAAAAATATGTATTGTTCTACCTACTAACTCTATCAGAACTACAATTGAAAAGAATTTATCTAAACGCAACATAAAATTTGTCACAACCAATGGCGATTCTACGGGGAGAGGGGAGGCAGAAGGGGCCAAATCAATGCAGACAAATTACACTGTTCTGTTAGTATTGACGTTAGTATTAACCCTTTCATTTTGGTTTGAAGTTAACCCCTCTTTTGTGGTCCAACAGCTTGAGAGTGGAAAATAGGGCAAGAATAGATTAAAACTCCACTACTATGAATGAAAATTTATTCCGTTTATTTTAGTGAAGTAACATACTCATACTATGACTCATTCCTAAGTTGTGTATACGATAGTGGTGTAGAAAGACGTTGCTTGAATTTTCCCCACCTCCTCCGCAGAAAAAAATCGGCCCCCAAGTGCTCCCTCATCACTTTCAGGGTTCCAGAATCACCACTGGTCACAACTATTTCTAAAACAATAAAAGACTTAATCACGATAAAACAAAGCAATCAGCTAAAACTTGAAGGAGGGATTTACTCTGTGGCCTGTAATGACTGCCAAAAAGGATACATTGGAGAAACCTCAAGAAGGTTACATAAAAGAATTATATAAAAAGAAAAGGGATAAATTACAATACAACACGTTAGACGCATTAATAGCTCACCGTAATGAGACTGAGTAAAATTTTTATGTAAAAATGCTACTATAAATATAATAATTAACACAATATGAATGCAATATAAATTGTTATTACCCTGCAGTTATGAACAAAAGATTTCAGCGTTAAATCAACATCTGATTAAATAAAAACAAACTTTTATAAAATTTAATTTTATTGTCAAAATCAGATGATGCACATAAAAGACAAACAGAGGCGTGAGATGCAAGGCGGAGAATTCTCAAGCATCATTTTGTTGGTACGAGAATACAGATTTGTTCTGATATATAAGTGGTTAAATAAAATGGTCTGTTATATTTTGTTGTTTTCGATTAGATGGTCTATTGTTTGTGGATAGTCCAACTTTAAAACCTTCTTCTTCTTGTGGCTAATTTTCATATTCGGATGATATAGTGAAGTATTTAAAGCGGCAGTAGTACTTACTGTTCGAACTTAGCTAAAAGGAAAAAATTTACAAGATTTTTCGGCATAGAAAATTTACGTAACACAACTTTTCTCCTTTTTATTTCATACTTCTTTAGTCCCGTGAAATACTAAGCCAAGATAATATATATATATATATATATATATATATATATATATATATATATATATATATATATATATACCTTTTGCGCTTGGTCAGTGATCATCTCGGCGGAAATCATTAAAATTACACAAAGATGAAACCTTGTTATCGCCTGCTCATACGAAAGGGAAGAAAGAAATTGAGATAAAATTGCTTCCTCTTATCATCTCCAAATGTTTACATCGCGTGTAAGCGAATAAAAACGGGAAAAATTCAAATAATACAGATCAATATTATTAATCGATAATTTAATGCAAAACTGTAAGTTTCAATTATTTTCACCCCATGCTTGTTGATTTGCAGCCTCGAAAAATCGCATATATATATATATATATATATATATATATATATATATATATATATATATGTGTGTGTGTGTGTGTGTGTGTGTGTGTGTATATATATATGTGTGTGTGTGTGTTGTGTATTTGGGTAGCAATCCTTCTTTTATACAAGTTTCGTTAAAGCCGACTGACAATGTACTACTATTTAGCTTTTTATTTAATTTTTCTTGTGTTTTCTTTTCTGATTTGTTTTTATTTATTTATTTTGTATTACGGTACATCAATATATCCATGGGTTATTTAATGCTTAATTAAGATTTTTAAAACAGGTTTTTATGAATGGAATATGTATTCTTTGTAAGAAATCAGTTTGTATATCAAGTTTTATTGACATATTTTTGTAAACCGGATTATTGTCGAGAGTCAAATGTATTGCGGGTATATTTTTTCGGAAATGTATTGCTGCTAATATTACTTTTTCAAAAACTGTATTGCTGGTATTTTTACTATAAAAATCTATTTTTATACTTTCACAGTGTTTTAATCCCAGTTTTGGAGTTAACTATTTTGCCCATAGTTGGGACCCTAACAGGTGCTACGACCACAGGTCAGGATGGACCGAAGAACAATAGAAATTAAGAAGCGATTCTACGCTCTTCAAAACCTCCCGGATCAGAGGTCTTGTTGCCAGATGTAGTTTATCATCATACCCAGGTCGATTTCTTTTGTGAACATAAAGTGTGCAAAAACTGTCCAAAAGTTCTTCATATCCGAGGTCTTTCGGCTATTCTTTTAGCCATTATCAAGGAAAATATTTATTTTTAGCTGAATGTGTGGCGTTTTTATGTATTTGTCTAAAGTTATAGGAATGTTTTTGATAATGGCTAAAAGAATTGCCGAAATCGCTCGCATATGCTGAACCTTGGGACAGTTATATATATATATATATATATATATATATTCATTACTATGTATTTTATCTCAGGTTTCCATCAAAGGGTACTTATGGAACCTTTCTAAATATCTGTTATACACACATACACGTGTGTGTGTGTGTGTGTGTGTGTGTGTGTGTGTGTGTGCATTGTTTAAAACTTGCAGTATTTATGGAGGTAGAGTGTTTCAGATCAGAGAAGTCTCAGTCAAACAAATCGCGAAACATTTCAAATTTATCAAGATATCCTACTTATTCCTTCTTTTATTTTATTAGGTTGGGGAAAAATTTCGTTCGGTTATTAAGTAGAAAATTTACTTAATAAACCAAAGAAACATTTGGTCCAATCCAATACATACACACACACACACATACACACACACATATATATATATATATATATATATACACGCATATTGCCATGACTTAAATAACATGATCCAATAGGAAATAAATAAATTTTCACTAATAAAACTGATTTATTTACTGTTGACTTTGATCCGTATTATGAAACACCCTTTATTATATATATATATATATATATATATATATATATATATATATATATATATTAGAATTATGTAAAATTGTGATAGCCTCGATGTCTTAATTAAAATTAATGTTACACAAGAAAACCTGATGAATTCAAAAATTACATGTCCGCAACAAGATATGAAAAAAATCAACCATGCCAAAATCATCTCTTTCTCAAAACAATCTTTTTAAAACATAATTGATATTAAACAAAAACTTTTTAATAAAGACTTCCCTAATCATATATGTATATGAGTGTGGATTAATATATACGTAACCTGACAGATATATGTGTTGAAATTTGGTAAGAATTTTTCACTGCATATTGTTTTATCTAAGGGTATGTGTATTGACAAGGAAGGAAATTATGTTGACAAATATTTTCGTGTAAAGTAAAATGGTTATTTGTCGTCACTTATCCCGGGACATAGTGATTTAACTACATATGTATCATTTTTCTATGTATGTATGCGTATTTATGTGTGTGTTTGTATGTGTGTGCGGGTGTGCATGTCTGTCTGTTTATTATTTACGTAAACTAATATCGACTAGACAGAGATACCTGATGAAGACTGCAAATCACAATGGCCGAAACATTGTGATAATACCATCAAAGATGAGAATATAAATGCCAATATAAATAATAACTCCTCATCCCAAAAGTTCAGACATAAATACACTTATAGTTTTATTTTTATTGACTAGTCGATTACTTATTCGATTTAAATATCTGTCCGCGCAGACGTTTATAGACAGACAAACCCAGCGCGCGCTCGTGCGCACAAACACACATACAAACACTTTCTCTAAAACAATGGTCACGATTAGAACGTCATTATTTTCATTGTTATCGTTGCTTAAGCACCGTCACTGTCGCAATGTCCCCATCTCGCGTATACATCGAAAGCACACAATCGACGTTTTTCGTCTTTATTATCATAACTTGACGCTAATTTATATAGTGACAGCTTATGGTCAGTGAAAAAAAAAGGATAAACAAATTATGACAGGGGAAAAAAAAAGAATGAAAGAAAAGAAAAAAGAAAAGAAGTTAATAGACTATATTTTATTTTCCTTCTGGGCCATGACGTCATACGCTGAGTACGGCATCCTAAGCAAGTGCCCGTTGACGTCACGTTGACCAATGTCGGCGACTGAACGAGGAACATCTCCATGGAAATATGACGTATTCTCACTCGTGAGGCAACAGCGCAGCTAAATATAGAATGCCGGGTCGTTCTTAAAGATCCAAGAACAAGCGAAAAGTATTAAGCAAACATAGATTTAATCCATTTATGCAATATTTGTCTGTCCGTCTCTCTCTCTCTTTCTTTCTTTCTTTCTCTTTCTCTCTCTCTCTCTCTCTCTCTCTCTCGGTCTATCTATGTATGTAATTTTTCATTTATGGGATTCGTGGATCGATATCTGTTCAATGTGCTATGTTATAGAATATCAAAATAACACTTTGCGATGATATTTTTCCTTTTAACTGGCGTTGTATCTGTGAGTATGTCTCGCTGATGTTGGGTGTCTGTCTGATTATCGTATTATTTCGTTAAATATCTTTATCACCACACTTGTCTGTGTCGGTTGTGTCTTTTACATCCACAGTCTATCTATCTATCTATCTATCTATCTATCTATCTATCTATCTATCTATCTATCTTACACTCTCACAATTTTTTAACATTTCCATAAAAACTCTCGCGACTTATTTATTCCTAGTACCTGTAATTAATTATATCCTTTGTTTTTTGGTATATTTTTTCCTTCACACCTTGATGTGTACTTTCTTTCTTTCTTTCTTTCTTTCTTTCTTTCTTTCTTTCTTCGTAACATCGCATCTCGTTATTTACGTGTTTCATTTCTTTGTCATTTTCCTTTTCCGTTTATTTTTTTTTCTTTCTTTACTTTTCATTCAAGCTTTTTCATTTCTTTCTTTTATTTATTTGCAAATCGTACTTTACATTTGGTCATATTTTTCTTTCTTTATTTTTTTCTTTTGTTAATATCGTTTATATAAATTCTTTCTTTTTTCTTTCTCTTTCTTTCTCAATCTATCTATCTATCTATCTATCTATCTATCTATCTATCATATGTATGTATGTATATATATATATATATATATATATATATATATATATATATATATATGTAAATTACCTTTTGTAAGACTGCTCTATATACTTTAACTTGTTCCTCAATATATTTCAAAAGCCATTATTTTGTTTTGACTGTTTATGTCTGCGTTACGATTTTATCAATGTCACAATCCATACCATCATTTTAATGTTTTCACATTTCCTGCTTATTTCAAATATCTATCTATCTATCTATCTATCTATCTATCTATCTATCTATCTATCTATCTAAGCTCGTAACTCATCCTTGTTTTTCCTCTTTATATCGAAGATTAGTAATTAGAATGGTGATTTCAAGAATCACAGGCATTTATTATCCAACGACTTCCGACATCCTTCGGGTTTCAGAAGTTATCATAAATAAATTTTTGCGCATTGTATCGACAGGTATGCATTGTGATGATTTGACGATGTTTACGCATCAGTATACTGAGTTGTTTGCTTTTGATATTAAGGCTGATAGAATTAGTGGTCGTTTTTTTTACCGTTTATGTAGTATAGAAGTTAGTTTTTAGTAAATATTTTTCAGAATTTACATTTGTGTTTTGCTGATGTGTTGTGATTATACGAATTCAGTTATTATCGGATAGATGGCAAGTTAACCAGTGCTATAATGTAGTGATGGCATAACCAATGTGTTGCTCAGATATTACTTTAACAACTATTTTAGCACTGAATAGAGTACGCATACGACTTCGGTTTTTATTTATATACTTGGTAAATTATGTATTTTTCTGCTGTGGTACATATATATATATATATATATATATACATATATATATATATATATATATGTGTGTGTATATATATATATATATATATATATGTATATATATATATATATATATATATATATATATATATATATATATATATATATATATATATATATATATATATATATATATATATATATATATATATATATATATATATATATATATATATATATATATATATACACATATATATATATATATATATATATATACATATATATATATATATATATATATATATATATATATACATACATATATATATACATATATATATATATATATATATATATATATACACACATATATATATATATATATATATATATATATATATATATATATATATATATATATGCATACATTTATATGTGTGTGTGTGTCCGTGTGAGAGAGGAAGAATGTCTCTAATTCGGCGGCCTAATGATGAAAACGTATTAAATGTATTTATTTTTTTAAACAACTCATTCATTGTCAATGCACTTAATTCAGCGGTGAAGATTAATAAGATCAAACATTATACAGTGAAAATCACAGATAAAACAAAATAATCAGTATGTCATAAAAGCTTCCTTTCTCTCTTACTCTCTTATCTATCTATCTATCTATCTATCTATCTATCTATATATATATATATACATATATATATATATATATATATATATATATATATATATATAGATATATATAGATATATATATAGAGAGAGAGAGATAGGTAGATAGATGAGAGATCTATCTATATAGATAATTGAATTCTGAATTGCAGAGTTATTGTTTCCAGTTTCAATCGAATAAATCGAATCTAAAATAAAGATGCTTTAGACCCAGCAGCATTAAAAGCTTGGCACCGTAACCATAGAATCCTTTATTTTCTCTCTCGATCCATGTTTCGATCTATCTTTCTGTTTTTCTGTTACTTTGCGTGTCTTTAATTTTACTCTAAAGTCGCTACTTCATTCGCTTTCTCTCATGGTTGTGGTTACAATATTTGTAAAATGTGCCATCTCTTTTCCTCCATTTCTTCTGTGTTCGTGTGTGTATTACTCTCTCTTTTTCTCTCTCTCTCTCTCTCTCTCTTTTACACACACACACGCACACTTTCCATATTCTTGTTTTATGAACCTTTTGATCAATCAACTGATCGATTTCTATTAATTTCTAATCCCATAGCATAACGTGTTTTCTAGTCTGTCAGAAAGTTTCCGTCTTTATCTGCCTGACTTTCAACCATACTTTGCAAGTGTGTTGTATTTTACATTAAAATAGAAAGTCAAGCACTGCGGTTTGATCAGTGAGACATTCATATGCCCTAAACCTGTGGCGACCCACATCCCATCTTTTAAAACTACGCCTACTGCTATTCCTTGCCAGTTAACGCAGCATGGATGTAGAATGAATGACTTTATTTTATTGGAGTTGATATAAAATAGGATGCATTTGAAAACGTGTCGTCTTGCATCCACTGAGTGAGTTAAACCGTTCGTTTTTCAAAGAATCAATAAAAAGAAGTCAGATATCGGTGTCTGGTCCACGTAAAATGGCTGAACCAACAAACAATATCTTTGTTTATTTGATATCGACAAGTCTTTACTATGTTCTAGATGCCTTATGGTCTAACAGTCGCCCAACTAATGCCACAGACCATTATTCCTACAATGAGCTTGATCTTTACTGAGTATAGCACACTTATGGACTTGTCTGTTTAACAGTATATCAACACCTTCTGGGTCATTTAATGCTGACATTTTCATTTTTTGCGGGAGCTTGGAAGTAATAAAAATATGATATATATTATTCTGTTTTACAATAGATTACGTGAGAATGAAAGAGAACTAGAAGACTTTGGAAGAATCCAGAAACCCAATCCTAAACAGGAAACAAGGGATAAACTTGTTCAAAAGACCGAAGACGCGTGTTAACCGGATGATAAGTGAACCTAACGACTCCTCTTGAGGGGAAAATCATAAACAAAATAAATAAATAAATAAATAGTAAATAAAATTTCAGAGTTTAGGCGGAGTCTTATAGAAGTATAGAGTTGAATTAAACTGTAGAAGGATTTGATTTGATTTATTTGTTCAACGGTATATCAACATCTTCATGGGTCATTTAATACCGAAATTTAATTTTCATAAGAGCTTTAAAGTTATAAAAATATGATATATTATTCTGCTATCGCAACTGAATACATGGTAGATGATACTCAGGTTTTCTGTATATGCATGTTTTTATGGACAGAATTACAATATGTGTGTGTTTAAGTTGTACTTTTTGTTGAATTCATATTTTAGAATACAGTTTGATTTGAAATTGTAGGATATTCTATGGATTAATGTCCTAAAAATGTTATTTCGTGTTGGTAGTTTGATTTTGTTTAGCGGCATATCAACATCTATGGACCATTTAATGCTTGAATCTAAATATTTTAAACACAGTTTTATGGCTTCAACTACAGATTAAATGTATTGTTGGTACTTCTACTATAAATATGTATCGTTGGTAATTTTTTTATATAATAATGTATTGCTGGAATTTTTACTATAAAAATGTATTTTTATACTTTCATAGTGTTTGGGGGTTCATTACTTGCCCACAGCTGGGACCCTAACAGGTGCTACTGCCCGAATCAGGGTGGACCTGGGAACAACAGTAGTTAAGAGGTGGGTTTACACTCCTCAAAATCTTCAATCTCCCCATCAGATGCTTTGCTGCCGGGTGTAGTTTATCGTCGTACCCAGGACTGTCTCAGACTATACCAATAGGTCAAGCTTCCAGAGACAGATCAGCTTATGGGCTTGGTTGGATATCAAGGCAACAGTCAAAAATGTCAAAGGGGTCAGTCAAAAATGTCAAAGGGGTCAGTCACAAATGTCAAAGAGGAGTCACAAATGTCAAAGGGGACAGTCAGAAAGGAAATCACTTCTGAGTTATTTATTATACACATATCGTGTTTCTGAAATAATTTATAGAAATCATACTATATAATACACTAGATGCATTTGTATAATTCTGTCTGTGATATCGGTAACTGTTAATGTTGCTGGAGTTGGAACCCCAGGTGACAGTGTCTTTGTTATAACAATAGAGGGCACATCGACCTTTTTTACATAACCGGAAGGCAAAAAACCGACTCCGTGAAAAAACAAAGTTGGGTAAAAATGACAGGAAAAACGCGAAAAATCTTCTAATAATAATAATGATGATAATAAAGAATTTAAAAAAATCTGGATGTGTTGGTGGTGCAATGAATAGAGGCTCGGAACGAGAAATCTGAGAGCAGAGTTCGCATTCCGGTCAAGTTTCGTTACATTTACCTTTCGCACAAATATACTTAGAATGGATCAATCTCTTCTGAACAGATATATGTTAATTAGAAGTGCAGATTGGACGTTGGGTGGAGACGGACAACTCTGAATTCCACACTCGTATGGCGAAACACATTCTATGCAGCTAACGAAAAGATCATGGGGTTTACAATGATTTTGTCATTCCGACTGCAATCGTTTAATCAATCAACAAATAAAATTTTTATATATACCTCTTTTATTTAGTTACACATACCCATCCATCCATCTATCCATATATATATATATATATATATATATATATATATATATATATATATATATATATATAGTGTGTATTTAGGCAGCATTTTTTCATTAATGCCTGTTTTATTAAATAATATAGACAAGTTTTGTGTGATGTCATGAACCGCAATGCGATATTTTGCTTCCTGCGTTTCTTATGCACGAATTTATCATTGCATAGCAATCTTCCATGCAAACAAAACAAAGTATCATTGTTGCAATGTCCGCATAACCATTCTAAAACAAAAATTATCATCTTTGTTTTATAATTTATTATTTAATTTAATGTAAATACTTGTAATCTCTGATGATGGCTTATGCAAGCAGAAAGCTTAGACAGGCTTAACAATAAAAACATGTATCCACACGATGATTTTCTTTCGTGTTTCATTGATAATGCTAAAAAGCTTATTCGACAATATGAAAGGGATTTACTTAAAATAAATAGACAAAACTTGTCTATATTATTTAATGAAACATGCATTAATATATATATATATATATATATATCACGTTAAGACATGGGTGATCATGGCTCTCTGTGGATTGCCATAACATCTTGAATAAAACATTGGTGTATTTTTCGTTGCATTCAGGGTAGTCTTGCTACTTAACCCATAGCTGAAGGGAGAAGAATGATTTCAAGGCATTTGTGAGAAAGTGAACGCACAATACTAAGCCCGAATTTGCACTCGGCTAGTCGATTTCACTTTCCTCACCGACAAGTTTTAAGTTATCCACACACATATATAAAGTACACTGTATGTGTGCGTGTTTGTGCGTGTGTGTGTGTCCAAGCAACTCCTCCGCTCCCACTGGTCCGATTTCAATGATGCATAGCTCATTCAAAAGCCCTAGAAA